GCTTGAAATCAGGGTCTGGGCACTGTCCCTGAGCTTCTTTTGCTCAAGGCTACCACTCTACCACTTAACCACAGCACCACTTCTAGATTTTCCTGTTTTTGTGGTACTGAGGAATCGAACCCAGGGCTTCATGCATGCTAGACAAGCACTCTACCACTAAGCCATATTCCTGAACTACTTTTCATAAGAAGAAAGTAAATCTCCATCCTACTCTCCCTATTTGATCGGCAGAGCCGATAATCCTGAGCCCCAGGAAACAACAGACTGACAATATTAATAAATCTGGTGTGTGAATCACCAGATGCAAGGTCAGTTGCCAACCAACTAGGACACCTGTGAGAAATAAAAGCCTGTTTGAAGTCCTTGAAATCCAGGGAGGGGGCATAGTTGTTACAGCAGCTGGCATTATGCTAATACGTGGATGTTGCTCTTTGGGCAGATGCTAACCAGAAGGCTGGAGCAGAGGTCTGTCTATGAAATGAGCCTCTAATCTCCAGTTGTGGCATGTGAGCTTTTACACGGCAGGTTTGTACAGTGTCCCAAAGCCTCTTCGATTGCTAGTTTAAAAGTCTTAGCATCTCCAGGCACTAGTAGCTCATGCCTATCATTCTAGCTACTCAGGAGGCTGAGATCTGAGGATCAAGATTCAAAGCCAGCCTGGGCAGGAATGTCCATTTGACTCTTATCTCCAGTTAACTACTGAAGTCTTAACGTGTTCCTTCCTTCCGTGTGTGTGTGTGTGTGTGTGTGTGTGTGTGTGTGTGTGTGTGTGTGTGTGACCTTGGGGCTTGAACTCAGGACCTGAGCACTGTCCCTGAGTTCTTTTGCTTAAGGCTAGTGCTCTACCACTTTGAGCCACAGTTCCACTTTTGTTTTTTCCTGGTGACTCTTTAGAAATAGTTTCATAGACTTTCTTGCCCAGGCTGGCTTTGAACCATGAGCCTCCGATCTCAGTTTCCTGAGTAGCTGGGATTATACACAGGAGCCACTGATGTGGGCTGAGGTTTTTGTTGTTAGTCTATCAGAGAGGTCTCAAACATTTACCTGGTTTAAGCTTAGATCTATATCTTCCTATCTCTGAGTAGCTGAGTTGGACTAAAGTGACCCCCTTTTTTACTTCATTTATTTGGTACACCTGCATATATGTATATGCATAGGCTTGTCTGTGTGCACATGGGGTCCGCATCTCTGTGAGTGTTTGAAACGAATCTTGTTTCTTGTACAGGGGTAGGGGGTACAAAGAGGAGCTGCATGGAAAGCATTGCTTCCATAGATATGATCACTCATGCCTGGTGCCATGTTTCAGAGGTGTGTCCCTGTCCCTGCCTACGAGTCCTCGTGCCCTTGTGTGCATGCCCGTGTGTGTGCAAAGGAGCCGTCTTCTTCTCCACAAGGCCTTCTCAGCTCTCAGACAGTTTAACCTCATTCTTTCTGTGGTTTCCATTGCTTCTGTCCTCCTCGCCAGATGTTGCAATTAAGCAAATGCAGCAATTAAGCTGAGTCCTACAGCTATCCCACCAGGACCCTTTCCAAGAGCTAATGAGGAGTTCTGGCATCTGCAGGGCCACATAGCACAGTCCAGGCACGCAGGGACCCCTGGCGGCACAGTGCTGAATGCAGGAAGCCTGGGCAAGTTACCCATGAGGAGCCTAGGGGCCTTGGTGCACCTGCTCACCCCTCCTCTCCTTCAGGTCTCAGCATCTCTACTCCAGAAAGCTTCCCAAACTCAGGGCAGAGACTGTACCTGGGGAGGGGAGTTTTTGGCCCTTTGCTGCCTCCATCAAAGTTGGGACCACCCTGGCTTTATTGTCACAGACCTGTTTTGCGTTTGATTCGTTTTGTGCTGGATGGTATTGGGACTTAAACTCAGGACCTGGATGTTGGCCCTTAGCTTTTTCACTCGAGGCTGATGCTCTACCATTTGAACCACAACTCCACTTCTGGCTTTTTTGTTGCTGGTGGTGATGGTGGCAGGACCTGGACCTGGACACTATCCCCTGGGTATTTTTGCTCAAGACAAGCGCTTTACCACTTTGAGCCACAACACCACTTCTGGTTTTCTGGTGGTTCATTGGAGAAAAGACTCACAGACATTATCTTGCATGAGTTGGCTTTGAACCATGATTCTCAGATCTCAGCCTCCTGAGTAGCTAGAAAGACAAGCGTGAGCCACCAGTGCCTGGTTATCTACTTCTGGCTCTTTCCACTAGTTCATTGGAGATTCAGAGTCTCACAGACTTTGCTGCCTCGGCTGGCTTTGAACCGTGATTCTCAGATCTTGGCCTCCTGAGTAGCTAGGATGACAGATACGAGCTATCAGTGCCTGGGCTTAAAGTACTTACTTTTACTTGAGTCCATGAATTAACAAAAGGCAGGATAGAATCTAATCGTTCCTACCTCCATTTTGTATCGATGCCTCTGTGGCTAGCACTGTGCAGCCATCTTGGAAGTCAGGAAGACCCAAATCACCAGCCAAGTGTCAATCCTGAGACATTGAGCTGTCAGACCACACGTGACTGGGACTGTTTTAACTCAGCAGGCCTCTGTCCCCAGTCCTTTGTCTATTTAAACCTACAGTTCATGTCTGTACCCTGAAGATGGCTGAAGATGTACTGAAGTGCTATCTTCCCATGGCTGCTATGGAATGAATCTCCTTTCTCTGCCCTTTACCATTCTCGTCCTCCCCATCCCCACCCCACCCCCCCCCCCTTTTTTTTTTTTTTGCCAGTCCTGGGGCTTGGACTCAAGGCCTGAGCACCGTCTCTAAATCTCTTTTTGCTTAAGGCTAGCACTTTATCACTTGAACCACAGTGCCACTTCTGGTCTTTTCTGTGTATGTGGTACTGAGGAATTGGACCCAGGGCTTCATGCATGCTAGGCGAGCATGCTACCACTAAGCCACATTCCCAGTCCTAGCTGCAATTTTTCAATACACACAAGTGGGAAGAGCCTAAAGTTTATTTTGGAAGTTTCAGCAAAGCTAGGGAGATGCCAGCCAGGGTGATGCATGTCCCCACCCTCACCCCCAGGTGGGATTCCTGGGGGAAAGGGGGGCTCCAGGATCCCTAGGGTTAGAGGAATAGGGCTCTGCCCACACAGGCCACCCTTGCCAAGACTCCCAGAAGATTGCTGCTCCAAGTTCTCAAGCCAGAGGTGTAACCATCACCACGGTCCTTTCTGTGTGTGTGTGTGTGTGTGTGTGTGTGTGTGTTCTGATACTGGGACTTGATCTCAAGCCTTGAGCTCTTGTTTGGATTTTTCAAGCCACACCTCCACTTGGGCTTTTTGGTGGTTAGCTGGGATAATAGTCTCTCTCCCAGACTTTCCTGCCCCAGGGCTGGCTTCAAAGGGATCCTCTTGAGTAGCTAGGATTAGGCATGAGCTACTGGCCTAACTTACCCCACCTCTTCTGAGACACACGCGCACGCGCGCACACACACACACGCGCGCACACACACACACAAACACACACACACGTCATGGTCAGTTGTGGGGTTTGAACTCAGGGCCTAGGCCTTGTCCTTGAGCTCTTTTGATCAAAGCTAGTGCTCTACCACCTTGAGCTACAGTATCACTTCCAGTTTCCTGGTGGTTCATTTGAGATTAGAGTTGTGGACTTTCTTGCCCAGGCTGGCTTTGAACTGTGATCCTCAGATCTCAGCCTCCTGAGTAGCTAGATGACAGGTGTGAGCCACCAGCACCTAGCTCTGATGATTCCTGTCTTAACACAATTCAAATCACAGTCTTAGGTGGACAGACAATGGGGCTGTCAGGGGCAGGGGTGGGGGGAGAGACAAGAACACACTGAGACCACCTGACTCCTTATCTTCCCTCCCCACCCTTGGACACCTGAAGTGTGTCCCGAGGTCTGTCCCTCATCCCACAGTGAACAGGGGCTTGGAGCCAATGTTTCCCCATGGCAGCCAGGGGAAAAGAATCCCTCTCACCTAAAAGGTCAGGCCTGTTGCGGGACAGAGCCCAGGTAGGAAGACTTCCCCTGTGGGCAGGACCCCCCCCCCAAGGAGGACGGGCTGAGATACAAGGGCAAGAGACTGAGAAAAAAGGGACACCATAGGCTCACACTTGTCATCCCACCTACTCAGGAGGCTGAGACCTGAGGATCGCTGTTCAAAGCCAGGCCAGACAGGAAAGTCCATGACACTCTTATCTCCAATGGAGCACCAAAAAGCCAGAAGTGGAGCTGTGGTTCAAGTGGTAGAGCGCCCACCTTGTGGGGGGGGAATCACAGGGACAAAGACCCAGGCCCTGAGTTGAAGCCCTAGGACTGGCAGAGAGGAGGGGAGGGGGAAAGGGGGGGAGCTGGATGCAGAGTATTATTTGGAGTACCCCAAGTACTGTGTCTCCATGTGTGCCTCTGAGCCGCCCTGCCTGTGGTCTCGCTCAGAGGCTCTCTCTGTCTCTGTCTTCCGGTCTCTCTCTGCATCTCTGTCCCCATCTGTCTCTCGATCTAGGCCCACCTTTTTCCCTTTTCTTTTTTTGTCTCTGTCTCTTTGTCTCAGTCTCTCTGGATCTGCAGGGATCCAGGCTCAGCCCAGTGCCAGGGCGATTGCAGGGGGGATCGGGGTGAGGAGTGGAGCCAGGGCGCCGCCTTTCCGAGGGAAGAGGGTGGGTGGTGGGGGCGGCGGCCGCGGCCGCCTGCGCCTTTAAGCGCGGGCGCGCGCTCCGGAGCCGGCGCCTTTAAGCGCGGGCGCGCGCGCCGGCGCGGCGCGTGCGCGCACGCGCGTGGCCCAGGGTTCCCGGCGAGGAGGCCGCGGGAGCACCGGCGCCCGGTCCGCCCGCCCCGGCTCCCGGCCCGCCCCGGCTTCCCCGCCCCGGCCCCGGCGGGGGAGGGGTCTCCGCGCGCGGCCCCTCCCCCTGCGCCCCCCCCCCCCCCGCCCCGCCGGCCCCACCTGCGCTGCGGTGCCCCCATCCCGCCCGCGTGTGCGTGTCTGACAGTCCGTCTGTCCATCCATCCATCCTTCCGTCCGTCCGTCCGTCCTTCCATCCGTCCATCCATCCATCCACCCGCGCCCAGGCCTCGCCCCACCCGGGCCTGGCGCCGGCCCGTGTGCCCTTCCCTCTGCCCACCGCCGCCTCGGATCCCCCCTCTCCTCCTTTCTGAGCTAGGCCCCTCCTCCGCCACGGCCAGGGAAGCCAGCCGCGTTGGGCCTTGCACCTCGACATCAGGGTCTTGCACCCCGAGATTGGATGAAGAGATCTGGACCAGCCTGAGAAGCCTGACCCGAGACCAGCCAAGCCACCCTGAGATCCTGCTGTTGGGACCCTCCCTCCCCACCAAGACCCGGACCCTGAACCCCAGTCAGTGTCTGGGGTTAGAATCTCGACATCAGCCCATAGGACTCCCTCTACCCTGCCCCCTCCCCAAGATTTGGCAACCGAATTCCATTATTGACAGCGTGGACCCCAAGATTTGGAGCTGGAACCCCAGGATTTGATGATACCTGAGTTGACCCCCTACCCAGATTTGGAGCTGAACTCTGAATTCTCAGCCTGGCTTGGCACCTTGGAATCTGGGACTTGATTTCCAAATCTATACCCTGGAAACCCACTCTTTGGCAACTGAACCCTGAGATTTAGGCCTCAGATTCCAAGATCTGAATGCAGGACTTCCAAGGGGGCCTTCACCTAAATGTGGACCAGAGAAGTCCTAGCTGCAGACCCAAATCTGCAGCTAGAGACCTCCACATTTTGATTGAGCACCCCAATATCTGAACGCAGAGTCCCAATTATCAAATCGCAGGATTGGACTTGGGACTCATACCTTCAATTTCCCTTTTTTGGTTTCTGGACATTGCAAGACTGAAGCTGGGGAGATTTGACCCTGAATAACCCAAACTAGGACCTGGCTATCTCAAACTGGACCCTTAGAGGATCCCACAGTTGGAAGCCTGGAACCCTAAGTATCAGAATCTGGAGACTCCGTGACCACAGATTTTTAAGCAAGACACTACACTCCCTCCGCAGAGGCTTTGGGGATGAGGAAGGGCGGTTCTGATGTCCCCGGCTGGCCACAGAGCCCTGACCTCTGACCCCCTCGGAGCCTGAGGACTCTGCTCCCCCCAGGGTGGCTTCCAACTCAGGTAAGGCCATTGTGAGACCTCCATGGAGGTGGGGAGGGGTTGGGGAGGAGCTTTGCGGCTGGGGGTGGAGGTGAAGGTAAGATGAGGGCCAGGTTCTCTTCGGCACTCTTGGGGTTTCCCCTAGAAAAAGACACTCCCCAAGGGGCGTGCCTCTAGCCCTTGGGATAGGTGGCCGGCTCGGGCTTTCTCTGACCTCTTCAATCTCCCACTTCATGTCCTCTCCAGGTCTCTGACACCACCACCCCTTGCTGCTTCTTGCCATCCATCCCCTCAGTCATCGCTCTCGTCCACCCCTGTCCTCTGCTGCCCTTTTCCCACCTTCCCCTCCCTGCCGCCGTCTCTGTCCACATTCTCCCTCTTAGAACATCTTCCACCTTCCGTCTCTGTTGCCCTCCTTTTACCCCTGTCCACAGCCATCTGACCGTCTCCAGCCTTTCCTCTCCTCTGGCTCATTGTTCTTCTGATCGCTTCTGCCGTTTCTCCTTCTCTCCACACCCTGTATCCTCCCCAGCTGTCCTGATCTCTCAGTGCTTCTCATATTGTCTTTTCTCTTGACCAGGTCTGGCCACCTCTTTTTTTTTTTTCCTTTTGTTTTCAATACTGGGGCTTGAACTCAGGGCCTGGTCACTGTCCTCTAGCTTTTTTGCTTAAGGCTGGCACTCTACCACTTGAGCCACACCTCTTCTGGCTTTTTTTCTTTTCTTTGTGGATCATCGGAGATAATCCCAGTCTGTGAGCAGACTAGGCTGGCTTGGAACTGCAATCAACCAGATCTCAGCCTCCTGAGTAGCTAGGATGACAGGTGTGAGCCACCAGGGCCCACCCGGACAGCCCTTCTATTTTCTGCCCATCTGTGCCCATCTTTAGCTACTTCCCTTCCCACTTACTGGCTCATTCTGTTCCCTCTGGGACTTCATGACACATCTGAGTATTAGATTATCTTCTCTGAGCCAGGCACCAGTGGCTCACGCCTGTCATCCTAGCTACTCAGGAGGCTGAGATCTGAAGATCACAGCTCAAAGCCAGCCTGAGCAATACAGTCTGTGAGACTCATATCTCCAAATAACCACTCAAAAGCCAGAAGTGGAGCTGTGGCTCAAGTGGGAGAACATTTGCCTTGAGAAGAAAAGCTCAGGGGTAGCGCCCAGGCCCTGAGTTCAAGCCCCAGGAACAGTACCAAAGCAAAATCCATATGTGACCACCTCTCCTCTCCTGACTTCAGACAGGGCCTTCTGTCCTTAGCATCTTTTCACAGGGTCTCAGGCCACCCGAACCTTCTATGGGGCCTCCCTCTCTGGCCTCAACCAGCCCTAAACACCTTCCCTCTTCCCTGTAGGCCACCCCTGCCCGCGATGGCCGTCTTTCCATTGCTTCTTTGCCTGCTCCCGCTGGCCCCTGCCTCAGCTCCACCTCAGCCAGCCACATCCAGCCCGTGTCCCCGCCGCTGCCGTTGCCAGACCCAGTCGCTGCCCTTAAGCGTGCTGTGTCCAGGGGCAGGCCTCCTGTTCGTGCCTCCCACCCTGGATCGCCGGGCAGCCGAGCTGCGCCTAGCGGACAACTTCATCGCCTCAGTCCGGCGCCGAGATTTGGCCAACATGACGGGCCTGCTCCACCTGAGCCTGTCCCGAAACACCATCCGCCATGTGGCAGCCGGTGCCTTCGCCGATCTCCGGGCCCTGCGCGCTCTGCACTTAGATGGGAACCGGCTGACCTCGCTGGGCGAGGGGCAGCTGCGTGGCCTGGTTAACTTGCGCCACCTCATCCTGAGCAACAATCAGTTGGCAGCCCTGGCGGCTGGTGCCTTGGACGACTGCGCTGAGACGCTGGAGGATCTCGATCTTTCTTACAACAACCTGGAACAGCTACCTTGGGAGGCTTTGGGCCGCCTGGGCAACGTCAATACGTTGGGCCTCGATCATAATCTGTTGGCTTCCGTGCCTGCTGGAGCCTTTTCCCGCCTCCACAAGCTGGCCCGGCTGGACATGACCTCTAATCGTTTGACCACCATCCCGCCGGATCCTCTCTTCTCACGTCTACCCTTGCTGGCCAGGCCCCGGGGTTCACCGGCCTCGGCCCTAGTGCTGGCCTTTGGTGGCAACCCTCTCCACTGCAATTGTGAGTTGGTGTGGCTGCGGCGCCTGGCCCGGGAGGACGATCTCGAAGCTTGTGCCTCGCCCCCGGCTCTGGGAGGCCGCTACTTCTGGGCAGTGGGAGAGGAAGAATTTGTATGTGAACCCCCCGTAGTGACCCACCGATCGCCCCCTCTGGCTGTACCCGCAGGCCGGCCAGCTGCCCTGCGCTGCCGGGCAGTTGGGGATCCAGAGCCCCGAGTACGATGGGTGTCACCCCAAGGCCGCTTGCTGGGCAACTCCAGCCGGGCCCGGGCCTTCCCTAATGGAACGCTGGAGCTGCTAGTCACCGAACCGGGCGATGGCGGTGTGTTCACCTGCATTGCTGCCAATGCGGCTGGTGAGGCCACAGCGGCTGTGGAGCTGACCGTGGGGCCCCCTCCACCCCCTCAGCTAGCCAATAGCACCAGCTGCGACCCCCCGCGGGACGGGGATCCTGATGCCCTCACCCCGCCGTCCGCCGCCTCTGCCTCGGCGAAGGTGGCCGACACCGTGCCGCCTACTGACCGCGGCGTCCAGGTGACTGAGCACGGGGCCACCGCGGCTCTAGTGCAGTGGCCGGATCAGAGGCCCATCCCGGGCATCCGCATGTATCAGATCCAGTACAACAGCTCGGCGGATGACATCCTTGTCTACAGGTGCGGAGGGCAGGGGTGGGGGTGGGGTAGCTCGGAGGGGAAGTCAAGTAGCAAAGGGCTGGGGGTACACCTGTGAACTCCCCAGACCCGAAGCACAGCTGAGAAAGGTCAGGGAGTGCCAACGAAATCAAACCACACAGGTTAACAAACAAAGTCAGGCAGGGCTGGGAATGTAGTTTAGTGGTAGAGTGCTTGCCTAATATTCATGAAGCCCTGGGTTCGAAAAATGGTACTGTAGCCCAAATGGTAGAGTGCTAGCCTTGAGCAAAAGCAGCTCAGAGACAGTGCCCAAGCCCTGAGTTCAAGCCTTAAGACTGGCAAAAAAAATTAAAAAATGAACAGGCAAGCCAGGTGCTGGTGGCTCATCCTAGCTACTCAGAAGGCTGAGATATGAGGAACATAGTTCAAAGCCGAGCCCAGGCAGGAAAGTCCATCAGACTCTTAACTCCAATTAACCACTATAATACTGGAAGTGGAGTTGTGGCTCAAAGTGGTAGAGCACTATCCTTGAGCAAAAGAGCTTAGGGACAGTGCCAGGCCCTGAGTTCAAGCCCCACAATCCCCTCCGCTCCAAAAAAAAAATCCAAGCCCTAAGTTCAAGCCCCAGGACCAGCACAGAAAAGAAAGAAATCGAAGTGATACTGTGGCACAAAGTGGTAGAACACTAGCCTTGAGCCCTGAGTTCAGGCTCCACAATTGACGAGAAAGAAAGAAAGAAAGAGAGAGAGAGAGGAGAGAGGGGAGAGAGAGAGAGAGAGAGAGAGGAAGGAAGGAAAGGAAGGAAGGAAGGAAGGAAGAGAGGGAGGGAGGGAGGGAGGGAAGGATAGCCAGAGGTGGACAGAATGGATTAAAAATACCTGATAGCCAAGGTAAAAAGAAATCAAGATGTGTGCTCGTGGCTCACACCTGTAATCTTAGCTACTCAGGCACCTGAGATCTAGGGATCCCAGTTCAAAGCCAGCCCAGTCAGAAAAGTGTGTGAAACTGTTTTATCTTCAATTGTTCACCAAAAAAAAAAAAAAAAACAGAAGTGGAGCTGTGGCTCAAGTAGCACAGTGCCAGCCTTGAGTGAAAAAGTTTAGCAGTAGTGCCCAGGCTCTGAATTCAAGCCCCAGGACCAGCACTAAAAATAAAATAAAATAGAAGTAGAAATAGAAATAGAAAAAAAGGGGCTGGGAAGGTAGCTCAGTGGTAGAGTGCTTGCCTTGCATGCATGAGGCCCTGGGTTCGATTCCTCAGCACCACATAAGCAGAAAAAGCCCGAAGTGGTGCTGTGTCTCAAGTTGAAGAGCTAAGAGACAGCGCCCAAGTCCAGAGTTCAGGCCCCACAAGGAAGGAAGGAAGGAAGGAAGGGAGGGAGAGAGGGAGGGATGGAGGGAGGGAGGGAGAAAAAGAGGAAAAATCCCAACAAACAGATTCTAAAACAAGTTAAATCTCCAGTGCACCAGAAGGAAATCTGGTGGGAGTAACAGGAAAAGTTAGGATAAATAGAAACCGGGGTAACAAAGATAAAAAGGGAATTACATGACTGAGCTGGAAAGAAATAAGGTAACAGAGAGAAAGAAATCCTCAGTGGTGATTCAGATGGCAGAATTTGCTGGAGAAACAAGACTACAGAGATGATAATATTAAGGCAATGAGACAAGAGGGAAATACATTGGCAGGTTAGAGGGAAATCAGACTACTGGGAAAGGGGAATTGGGTGGTTAGATTAGAGAATTCTAGCTGTACACTAAAGGAGAATCAGCCTGCTGGACAAGGGAAATTAAAAGTCTGGAAAGGAGTCAAATGGGATCCAGAGGGAAATTGGGAGAAAGATTGGAAGTGAGATTACAAACTGCTTGGTTGAGGGTTAGGAATGTGGCTTAGTGGTAGAATGCTTGCCTAGCATGCATGAAACCCTGGGTTCGATTCCTCAGTACCACATACACAGAAAAAGCTGGAACTGGCGCTGTGGTTCAAGTGATAGCCTTGAGCAAAAGAAGCTCAGGGACAGCACCCAGGCCTTGAGTACACAAGTCCCAGGACTACCACAAGAAAGAAGAGAGAGGGGCTGGGAAGATGGCTCAGTGGTAGAGCGCTTGCCTTGCATGCATGAGGCCCTGGGTTTGATTCCTCAGCACCACATTAGCAAAAAGAAAAAAAGCCGGAAGTGGTGCTGTGGCTCAAGTGATAGAGCGCTAGCCCTGAGCTGAAGAGCTGAGGGACAGTGCCCAGGCCCAGAGTTCAGGCCCACGACCAGACCAAAAAAAAAAAAAGAGAGAGACAGAGAGAGGGAGAGGAGGAGGGAGAGGGAGAGAGAGAGAGAGAAGGAAAAAAACTGCTTGGAAGGGATGTGGGTAGAATAGGAGGAACAGAGACAAGGGTTAAGGAGGAGTCAGACAGGCCTACAGCAAAATTGGACAGAAAGAGTTGGACCATGGTGGTACACCATGCAATCCCAGCTTCTCAGGAGGTGGAAGTAGGAGGATCACTGTTCTGAGCCAGCTTGGGCAAGAGCACAAAATACTGTTTCCAAAACAAGCTAGAAAAGCTGGGTGCTGCAGAACCAGGTGCTGGTGGCTCATGCTTGTAATCCTAGCTACTCAGGAGGCTGAGATCTGAGGATTGCAGTTCAAAGCCAGCTTGGGCAGTAAAGTCTGTGAGACTCTTATCTCCAATAAACCACTCAGAAAACCAGAAGTGGCGCTGTGGCTCAAGTGGTAAAGTGCTTACCTTGAGCAAAAAAAGCTCAGGGGACACTACCCAAGCCAAGTTCAAGCCCCAGGACTGGCAAAAATACAAAAAAAAAAAAAAAAAAATAGGTGCTGGTGGCTCACAACTGCTAGCTTTTAGTGAAAGAGCTCAGGGACTCATTACCAAAAACATATAAAATTTAAAATTGAGGCTGGGCACTGGGGGCTCACACCTCTAATGCTAGCTACTCAGTAAGCTGAGATCTGGAGACTGTGGTTTGAAACCAGCCTAAGTAAGAAAGTCTGAGAGAATCCAATGAATCACCAAAAAAAACAGAAGTAGAGATGTGGTAGAGGTGGTGCTCAAGTAGTGGAGCACCAGACTTAAACAAAAAAGCTAAGGACAGTACTCAGACCCTGAATTCAAGCCCCAGTATCAGCACACACACTAAAATGGCGGGGGGGGGGGGGGGGGGGGGAGGGGTGGAATGGAGATAGGCAGTTGGGGACAAATAAATAAAACATGAGTAGAAGGACACAGGAAGTGCTACAGAGAAAGGAAGCATCTGAGCCGGGCTCTGGTAATCCTAGCTATTCAGGAGGCTGAAATCTGAGGATCAAGGTTCAAAGCCAGCCCAGGCAGGAAAGTCTACGAAATTCTTTTTTTTTTTTTGGGTCCGGTCGTGGGGTCTGAACTCTGGGCCTGGGCGTTGTTCCTCAGCTCTTCAGCTCAAGGCTAGCGCTCTACCACTTGAGCCATAGCGCCACTTCCGGCTTTTTTCATTTTGCTTATGTGGTGTTGAAGAATCGAACCCAGGGCCTCAGGCATGCAAAGCAAGCACTCTACCACTGAGCCACCTTCCCAGCCCCAAGTTTATGAAATTCTTATCTCCAATAAGCCACTCAGAAAATTGGCTCAAAAAACCGACTCAGAAAACCGGTGCTGTGGCTCAAGTGGTAGAGCACTATCCTTGAGCTGAAGTGCTGAGGGACAGCACCCAGGCCCAGTGTTCAAATCCCACAACCAACAAAATGGAAAAAAAGGAAGGAAGCATCTGGCCCACTGGAGTCTTTGGTAGCAAGCTGGGGCCGAAGAGAAGTTAGAGCTAGAGTGGAGTTAGCTCACAGACCTGAGGGGCATCTGTCAGGTGGCTGGAGGGGTGTCCAAACAAAGGAAATTGGGGAGCTGGCTGGTGGGCACTCAGTGGGCTGGCAGGAATCTGGGCCTGTGGGGTGTTGGGTAGGGGAGCAGAAGGTGGGTGCTGGACACCTTGGAGATCTGACCCCTCCCCCCTTGCTTGTCTTCTAGGATGATCCCAGCGGACAGCCGCTCCTTTTTGCTGACTGACTTGGCGTCAGGCCGGACCTATGATTTGTGTGTATTAGCAGTGTATGAGGACGGAGCCACTGGGCTGACGGCCACGCGGCCCGTGGGCTGTGCCCGCTTCTCCACCGAGCCTGCTCTACGGCCCTGCGGGGCCCCACACGCGCCTTTCTTGGGGGGCACCATGATCATCGCCTTGGGGGGCGTCATCGTGGCCTCTGTCCTGGTCTTCATCTTCGTGCTGCTCATGCGCTACAAGGTGCACGGGGGCCAGCCCCCCGGCAAGGCCAAGACCACCGCACCGGTCAGCAGTGTTTGCTCACAGACCAATGGCGCCCTAGGCCCCACGCCAGCGGTGCCCACTTCTGAGCCCACTGCACCCAGGGCCCACACGGTGGTCCAGCTGGATTGCGAGCCCTGGGGGTCCAGCCAGGAACCTGCGGGACCCTAGCTGGGCAGCCATCTCTGCTGGCTGGCTTTGGCCCCCACACGGACAGCAGGACTCGGATCCCACGAGGGACCTAGCCTCAGACTCACCAAAATTGCTCACGGTTTTTAAAAACTCGGATGGGGAGGGCTTCCGGGGCACCAGGGCACAACAAGAAAGTCCTATTTTTCTAAGCTTGGGCCTAGGCCTTGTCTCTTTTGTCTGTCGGGTTTGGGGAGTGGTACAGGGGTCTGGGGTCTGGGACTGGTTTCTCTGAGAAGAGACCACCCCTCAGTCTCTGGGGTGAAAGATGAAGATGGTCATCAGACTTTCCTAGTGTGGCCACCTGGGCATGCGCTGTGCTGGGCACCTCTGCAGTGACCCTGTGAGTGACAGTCAGGTCTTCAGATAGTGATACCCAGAGAGGACAGAGACACAGTCATGGAGGAAACCTCGGGGACTGTAGGGCAGGCCCAGTCAGGGAAGACTCCCTGGAAGAAGAAGAGGAGCCACCTGGTTTAAGATAATTAGGCAAAGAGCAGAGAGCTGTTCCAGGTCCTGGAGAGGGGGTTGTTATGGTACAGATGAAGTGAGGGGAAAAGGGGAAGCATCCTGTACCTCCAAGCTAAGGAGTTCAGACTCTGGCTATGGTGAATTCTCTGCAGGGAAAGGTGAGGGTCAGGTTTGGGCTGTTAGGAAGATCTCCTCTATGGCTGTTTGAGAAAGTTGGATGAGAGAAGGAGACTGAAGTTGAAAAGCCCTAGGAGAGGCCAGGGCTGCAGGAGTGGGGAAGATGCCCTTGGATCTGTGCAAGGCTGAGGGGAAGAAAGAAGGGAGCAGGTGACATATTCAGGAAGCTGGCTAGACCAGCTATGGAGTTGCAGGGCCAATGAGTGAACCTCACCGGGGGTCCCAAGTCCCAACCACTGGGACTTGGAAGCAAAAGCTCCTAGAATCCAGGTTCTGGTGGCTCACACCTGTCATCCTAGCTATCCAGGAGGCTGAGATCGGAGGATCACAGTTCAAAGCCAGATGGGGTAAGAAAGTCCGTGAGCCTCATCTCCAACAAATCACTAGAAAACCAGAAATGGAGCTATGGCCCAAAGTGGTAGAGTGCTAGCCTTGAGCAAAAGAGCTCAGGGACAGCTACCAAAAAAAAAAAAGACAAACAGCAGCACAAAAGGGGAAGGAGGAGGAAAGACACCAAGCAATTTAGACCCAGTAATTATGGTGCTACATAGTCTGAACAGTGTAATTTCCCCAGCAAGAATAGTAGTATAGTAGTCCACGGGGACAGAGTCACAGTCAGATAATTTGTGAGTAATAAAGTGTGGACAGGCAGCCAACTGTGGTGGCTCACACCTGTAATCCCAGTTACTCAGGAGGCACAGATGGGAGGATCATTGTTTGAGCCCAACCCCTACCCGCCCCCCCCCCAAAAAAAAGTGAAACTCTTTCTTCCCCAAAATTAAATCCTGAGCTGGGTGTGACAGCCATCAGCTGTAACCCCTGCTACTTGGGAGGCAAAGACAGGAGGATCATGGCCCAAGGCAGGCCTGGGAAAAAAGCACAAGACCCTATCTGAAAAATAAACCAGAGCCAAAAGGGTTGGAGATGTGGCTGAAGTGACAGAGCGCCTTGCCTAGTATAGGCAAGGCCCTAAATTCAAACCTCAATACTAGACAGGGACCATGGGCCCTGTGGCTCAAGCCTGGTTCAGACCCTTGTCTTGGAAATGTTAGAGTTCCAGGAAAATGATCGGGAATCTTACAACTTTGAGCTTCTATGGTGTCAGATCCAACTGGCATTGAGGGAAAGGGAGGGGTACCTGGGGGTTGTCAGCACCCGGGGTTGATGCTGGGGTGAGGAGCAGAATGAAGAGTGCCCAAGACCAGACTGGCTATTCTTCACTATTCACACACATACCCCTTGTCCTGGTGGGATGTCAGGTCCTAGATTCTGCCAGGTTTTATGGTGACTCGTGGCCTTGGAAATGTACAGTCAGAGACTCAGAGGTATGGTCTGGCTCTCCAGCCCCCAGCAGCTTATATGGTTGGTACCTATGGGTGGCTGAGCTCACGTGAGGTGGTCAGGGACTTGGGAAATGAGATCTAAGAAGTGGGAGCTATCGAGGGAGCTACAACCTACCAATTGCTACTCATGCCTGTCATCCTAGCTGCTCAAGAGACTGAGATCTGAGGATCATGGTTCAAAGCCAGGCCAGGCAGGAAAGTCTCTGAGACTCTCCAATTATCCACCAGAAAACTGGTAGTGGAGCTGCTAACTTTGACCACAAAAGCTCAGGGATGGTGCCTAGGCCCTGAGTTCAAGAAACACACACACACACACACACACACGAGTGAGCAGGCTCAAAAACAACCTTAAATGCTTGGGGACAAACATCTTTAAGTACAGGACCTTGATGAGGGTTTTCCCAATACAAAGGGATGAATTTAAGAGTTTTCTTCATTTTGTTGTTGGTGGTGGTGGTCCTGGGGTTCAAACTCTGGGCCTGGGTGCTCTCCCTGAGCTCCTTTTAGCTCAAGGCTGGTGCTCTACCACTTGAGCCACAGCACCACTTCCAGCTTTTTTCTGTGCTTGATCAAAGATAAGAGTCTCATGGACTTTCCTGCCCAGGCTGGCTTTGAACTGCGATCCTCAGATCTCAGCCTCCTGAATAGCTAGGATAACATGTGTGAGCTACCAGCGCATGGCAAGAGTTTTATTTGCATCTTGAGAATTTTCTCTGTGGAGGTGGGGGTGGGGAAGAGAAGAGGCCAGAAAGGCAGCTTACCAGATGTCAGGGGTAAGTACTTGAAAAATCTTTTCCTGTGAGAACTTGCGAACATAGGCTGCTGGAGGTGAATGCCAATGTGGCAAGAATTCAGGGTATAAAATGTGAGACTTCAAAGGATTTTCTTGTGGATTTCTTCTGGCTTCTACTCAGGAGAACCCCTGGGGTACACTTCACACTCCCCAGCCCTCTGGATACAACAACAAATTCTGTGTGAGAAGTTCCTTTCCAGCTTCTGGCCCCAAGGTTAAGATCGGATCCCCTCTTCCTTCTCTACTTGCTTCCTACTTGCTCTTGATACCTCAGTTTCCCTCTTCTGCTCCTGTCTCCCAACTGGGATTCCCTAAGGATCCCCTCCTCTCAGATCCCAGTTCAGAGGACCCCCTCCAGGCTGCTGCAAAGGCCCCTCAAACCCTTTGCTCTCTTTTCTGGCCCCTCCTCATCCAGTGGTGGCCTCTGACAGTCATGTGGGTTATTGTGCGAGCCCATCTCTAGGTTCCTGACTCAGTTTCTCCTCTAGTCCCAAATCTTCCTAAAGTCAGACCTGGCCCTCCTCTGCACAGGAATTCCCAAGGATTCCCCAGGGCTTCAGGAACTGACTCTGAGTTCATCAGCTTAGCATTTCCAAGCCCTTGTTTTCCCCCTGGACCATCTCCACCTCCATCTGGAAGGAACTCCTAACTACTCCCAGAAGGCCAAGGGATCATCTTGTCTTCCTTCCCAAGCTCTCATTTATCCAGCCAAGGACATAAGGGCAAGCCACAAATGAGGCTGTGGAATGAAAACTGAGTTTCTTTCTATCTTTTCTTTCTTTTCCTTCCTTCCTTCCTTCCTTTCTTTTTATTTTCTTCTGTGGGGCTTGAACTCAGGGCCTCATGCTTTTGCTTGGCTTTTTCACTCAAGGCTGGGTGTTCTACCACTTGAGCCACACCTCCACTTTCAGCTTTTGGCTGGTTAATTGGAACTAAGAATCTCACAGTTTCTTTTTCCTGTCTAGGCTGGCTTTGACCCATGATCCTCAGATCTCAACCTCCTGAGTAGCTGGGATTATAGGCATGCGCCCCAGGTCTCCAGCAGAAAGCTAGGTTTCTTCTTGAGTTCTCCCCCAACCTGCTGTCCCCACTGGAAGCAAGGGCTCTAGGGGAGAAGGAGTGCAAACTACCAGAACCTGAAGAAGGCAGTTAGAAACTAATTCAGGGTCCCTCATCTCTTTCTTTCTGGAGATGCGGCCTTGCCCTCCCATCCTGGATCCTCCATTGCAAAGGAACTGTGTCCGATTAGCCTTCCCTTGTGTGGGGGCAAACCCAGGGGGCAAATGGCCCAATGGAAGCCACCAGTTCCCATAGCTCTGTGAACGAATAACTTCTTTTCCAGATGAGGCAACTGAGGCCCAGCAACACCCTAGGACCAGTTCCTGGGTTTCTACAGCTAGCACATAACAGGATGAGGATTAAAACCTGACTTGAGCCAGGCATTGATGGCTCATGTCTGTTATCCTAGCTACTCAAGATGCTGAGATCTGAAGATCATGGTCCAAGGCCAGGCCAGGCAGGAAGACTGTGAGACTCTTATCTCCAATGAACCGCCAAAAATCTGAGCACTCGCGCAAGGCATCTGAGAAGCATTTCCTGGCATCCTCACTAGCACTGCTGCTGTCGGGGAGGGCCACACACACACACACACACACACACACACACACACACACCCGGCAGTGGTGACACAGACACCCGGAAGGCAAGCTTGTCAGCACCTCTGTTTTCCAAGAAAGCTGTGAAGAATCCGCGGCCCTAGAAAACCCACAAACGCAGCTGTTAAGTCTGGGGGAAGCAAGCCTAGAGGAAGTCAGAGCTGGTGGATTGAGCGTGCATGTGTGTGCGTGTGTGCGTGTGTGTGTGTGATGCATGCACGTGCAAGGCCTGGATGAACTTAGGGCCTGGATGAAAGTTCCTTAGCATTTTCATCAAGGCTGTTGCTCTATCACTTAAGCCACATCCCCACTTCCAGCTTTTTGCTGGTTCGTTGGAGATAAGAGTCTCACAGATTTCCTGCCTGGGCTGGCTTCAAACCATGATCCTCAGATCTCAGCCTCCTGAGCAGCTAGGATGACAGGCATGAGCTACCGGCACCTGGATGAACCACTTTTCCCCCCATAGTGGTGTAGCAGGGTGTGAGTGTCTATTTGTACCGACTCAAGAAGACTTACAAACAGTCCAGGCTTTTTGAGTTCAGTGGTAAGTGCTTTTATATATAATGTAAGCACATTATATAATATATTCCTCAGTCACCCTGGAGGCAGATCTTTTTATTATCCCCATTTTATAGAGAAGGCGATTGAAGGTTAAAGGCGTTAAATCATCGCCCAGAGCTGCACTTGGAGCAGGTGGTTTTCTGGTACCCAAA